ATGTTTTTTTTTTTTCTGTCTGCTGGGTGGGCTAGATAATTTGGAGGTCAAATGAATATGCAACAAACCGTATATATTGTCGCTAGGAGTACTTGTTCTGTTCTCATGGAAAAATGTATATTTTTGCACAAAAAATATATATATCAGGATCCACTTGAAAAGAATCAAGACAGGATTACTATGTAAAATGTTAGTCATTGGGTTTGGTACGAAACCACAACCTGCCCCTAGTATGAGCCTTAGCTTTTGAACTAAACTACTTATTACTAAATTTAAATATATCTAAAATGAATTGTTGCCCTGGTGTACAGAATCTGGAGAACATTACCAAACTCTAAATAGTAGGTGTTTGATGAATAAATAGGTGATACTTTCGTTTTATCCAGAAAGGACACTTCTCCTACTCCTTCAAATAGCTTTGAGTTATTTGATAAAAGTAACTCCATATGAGACGTTTTGATGCATCAGTGTCCACAATCTAATAATGTAAATGTCATACACTAAGGGAGACTATTTGATTTGCAGTCCTAAACATTCTTTTGTTGTTCTGTTCTGTTTGATCCCAGTGCAACTTAAGGACACTAGTGGGATAGTTTTTAGCATAGCGTGCTGAGCACAAATTCTTAAAAACAAAACTATCAACTAGAGACAATCAGAGTCTTTCATAAAGTTATATTTACCAAACCCAGTCTATTTAGTGTGGCATGAGGCTAAGAGTTAACATCAGACATACCTTCAAACTTTGTACTAAACATCTAAATAGCAGTCTTATTAGATAGGAGATAACGGCACACCTCTTTTTTCATCTAAACTAGAGCTGTATTGATGTTTTAATGTAGAACAGGGAAGCAGCTCAAAAAGGTAATGAAATCCTGTGTACTCCTTCACAGGGGGGGGGTCGTCATCCAGAGCGACAGATTAGGCCTTCTCATTTCATAGCTTCATACAAAGAGTGTTATTTCACTTTACTCATTTTAAGAATTAGTTGGATAACTTAGTTTGCAAGTGACAAATAAAATATAAACATTTTGATCAGGATGTCAGATCAGATCAGGTATCATAGTCATTTATGACACAGAGTCCCATTCGAGTTATTAAAATCCAAATGGTTTAAAATCATATGGAGGCTGAGTAGGTAAGACAGGAAGTTGCTGCAGCCTCTCTCCTAATCCATTCATCCATTTTCTTTACACCTTTGTCCCTTAGTGGGATTGGGAGGGTTGCTGGTGCCTATCTCCAGCTATTGTTCTGGGTGAGAGGTGGGGGTCACCCTGGACAGGTTGCCAGTCTGTTGCAGGGCAACACAGAGACAAACAACCATGCATACACACACTCACACCTAGGGGCAATTTGGAGAGGCCAATTAACCTGACATGTTTTTGGACTGTGGGAGGAAACCGGAGCAGCCGGAGAAAACCCACACATGCACAGGGAGAACATGCACCTCCATGCAGAAAGACCGGGGCTGGGAATTGAACCCAGAACCTTCTTGCTGCAAGGCAACAGCTCTACCAACTGCACCACTGTGCAGCCCCTCTCTCCTAATGTGAAAGCCATTGTAAATGGCAAAAAGGGTCAGATTCAAAGCAGAAAATTAAGACTGAATTACAATTACGTTTTGCAAGAATGGCTACAATAATTGGTTGTGACTGTTATAAAAACAAAAATGGCTGAAGTTTACTGGGAAAACTGTACAAACTTAAGACCAACAACTTGGATGGGAAGTGAGTTTAGTGAGGGACTTTTTATGCTGCTATTGAGATTCCAAGTCAGGATTGTATCTGGATATCCCTAACCTGATTTCTTTTTTCCATTTTCTGTCTAAAGATGGGCCAGAAATCATGGCCACTTTCCACCACAGCGTTTTGCAACATATGCAAAACCTTGGAATAAGTGCAACAGCAGGTATCAGGGGAGAGGTGGAATGAGCATTTGAACATTTGTAGCTCTGTGGTATAGCAAAATTTAAGTGCAATTAATATATATATATTTTTTAGAGTGCACTAAAAATCAGCATCTTTTGCCTAAAAACCTTTGCCTTTTGTGCGTGGGTTTCTCCATCATAGTTTGTTACTTCCCTGCTTGTCATAAAAACGGTGTCATCTGATTCCAAGCTATAACCACATAACTGAAGTGCAACATTTAGCAGTATAAAGTTTAGCCTTGTGCTCAGGGGCATGATTCTCATTAGAGCTAATTTTACTTAGGTGTCCTACAACTGCAAATGTTCAGGAGAATTTAATGTTTACATTTTGACACTAAATTAAATCTCACTGTAACCCTTTTAGCTTGCTGTTTAAAACGCAAAACAAAGAGGCATTTTAAATCAGCCACCCTTGACCTTTTTTCAAAGAGAGACGCAATGTGCAAGTTGTCCTACCCGATCTACCTCAATGAATTGACAGGCATGTGTATCCTTTAATTTGTAGCATACAGCCTGACAGGGCCACGCCTTGGAGTGTAAAAGTAGAATTTATAATTAAGGGGTTGTGGGGAGTTAAGGGGTCAGCGCGGTGCAGATCACATTCCCCCAGTTGTCACAGGACCATGAAAAACACAAGTCACAAGCTTTGGCCGATATGTATTTATTCAGCAATTTCACATCTACAAGAATAGAATAGAATAGAATAGAATAGAATAGAATAGAATAGAATAGAATAGAATAGAATAGAAATAACCTTTAACAGAGAGAAAATGCAGGTGTAACAGCAGCATATATATAAGTACAGTGTTACAAAAGTGTTACAAATATATAAAAAAAACAAGATTAACAATGACAACAACAACAATAATAATAACAATAATAATAATAATATACTGTACAAGATTATAACAAAGATATTGTTGTGTAGAAATATATTCACCATCAAAGGGATGTGTAACTGAGTAGGATAGCTTTTTTGAAGATACATGTTAGCTAAACTTTAAAAAGATGTAACAGACTATTTACAATACATTATATGCATACAGATAAAAAATATATGAAATAATGACAGAAATTCTATTTGAAATGAGCAAGCAGAAAACAGTGCAACTCATTTTCTTCTAGATCAAAGTCTTTCTCTCCTTGAGTTGCTGCAGGTAAGAATGAAAACCAAAATACGTCGCATTGAGCCTTCTAGGCTTCATTTTCATATTTAAAGTGATTACACATGCAATAACAAAATGACCATTCACATAAGGTGGCACCTCTATCTGTCTTCATACATAACTGAGTAACTAATGACTAAGCTGATCATAGGCGAGAGCCCTTTCCTGAGTAACATACACAGCCTTCTGCATTGGGGCAAATGTCTCTCCTACTTGTTGAGTCATGAAAAAGATGAAACATCAGGCCTGCACACATTGTAAAAGAGGGAAGTGAAATTCAATAACTGGGCTGGTCTTTACTGAATCTGCTCTAGTCATATTAGGACATAGACAAATCAGCAAAGGTCACAGAGTGCAAAAGATGTTATGGTTTGGCCAGTGCTCAGTCTGTCCACAAGTATTTATTTGGATGTAATGTTTCCCCAGAATGGTTAAGGGTGCCTGGAGAAAGTTCGGAAAGGGATGATCAGATGGGGGCCATAAGAGGACTTTGGGAGACATATCCTGCCATCATATGTAGAGGGATTAGAGGTGGAGTCAAGACAAAGCTATTCAAGAGTATCATGGTAAAAAGTTTATTTGAACAACCAACTAACCAGCCATCCAAACAAAAAAAAAACCAAAAAAACAAAACAGTAACTAAATAAAAGTGAAACTTAATGGAGCATGAACTCATCTGTCCAAAATTAATATATTTAAAAGTATTCTAAAATATCTAAATAATAAAGATAAATACACACAAGAGGTTTGGTAAAACCAGAAGACCAAATATCAGCACCATGAACATATAAATATGAGGGAAATATCACATGTTGCAATACATTTTTGGGGGATGATAAAAACCTATTAAGATACATTAACTACTTTATGTTTGATTAATAAGTTGATAAAACTTTTGTGCCTTTATGATTGCCACCTCCAGATGGTTAATGCACCCTATGACAAAAGCTTTAAGTATTCCAATCTATTTTTTTTTTAAATATAATATTTTCTTCAATAGCCTGTACAATCAGTGGATCTCAATCCAACAGAGCTCCTTTAGGATGAAGTGCAATGACTGATTCACATAATGTATGTGAAGCAGACAAATCCACTCAACTGAGCGATACTGTCAACTGATCATGTTTCTAACACCAAATACAGTTAGGCAGTGGAGCCCAAAATTATTCCTACATCTGGTAGATTTAGCTTCGAATTAATCTCTTAGCTTCTTAACATATGTCATCTTACTGGAAGCAACATTAATGTTTTCAAGTGGCCGAGCCAGAGTGGCGGCTTAAATCTCATAGAGAATCTATTAAGAGGTGTAAAGGTTAGGGTGATGGCAACAGGGCCATCTAAGACTTGGAGTCCATTGCCAAAGATAAATCGTCAAAAATTCCAGATGAAGCATGTAAGAAGCTGGTCAACAATTTAAGAAAAAGGGTTTTATTGCTGAAATACCATCCATCCATATAGAGAGGTCGCCAGGGGTGCTGGTGCCTGTCTCCAGCGGTCACTGAAATACCAATAAAGATAACATAATGTTTTTCCATGCCTATAAAGAAGGGTCTAAATAAATATTGACATGCCATTTAAAAAAAAAAGTCAATAAATACATTTTTATTTTTTCAAACTGATCCCTTTTTTTAACCAAGTTTTATATTTTGAGATGAGTCATTTCCTGTTAGGATCAAGCCTCTCAGTCAACTGAAAATATTTTTAGCCACTACTTCCTATATACAAGAATGTTGCCCGTTCGCTAAAAAGAAAGTGAGATACTTTTAACACAGACTTAAACTCTGAACGACACAAAGGGCCCTGAAGCAATCTACTCTCCTGCCTCTCTGTCTGTTCTTGTTTGAAGTCGCAGAGACTGGCAGGGGAGGGAGGAATGTATTTTGGGAGGCGGGATCTTGTGACTCACAAGCAACTTCCTCAGTAGTAGGACAAAAGTAGCCGGCAAGCCGCATCCATCTTCGCCACAGAGGTTTGACTGCAGTTAGAAGAAGCGTAGAAAGTTTTCCAGCTGGAGGAGTGAAGCTCCTGACCCGTCAGAGGAGCGAACTGATCTGAGATCAGACCCTGACAGCAGCAGACTTACCGCAGACACGTTGGGAAGGCGAGTCCAGACTTCACACATTACTCCTGGTAAGACTTCAATCAGCTTTTTCCTCCCCGTTTCTTTCTTAGTTTTATCTATCCGTGAGTTTGCTAGTTTCCCTTTGGAAATTGTGCTTTAGCCATATCCAACCTACTTCCGATTGAGTTTTTTTTTTTTTTTTTATGGAAAAAGTTGCAATCATAGTGACCACAGTTGATGTGTAACAAAAGGTGTTAAAATGAATCAATGAAATATAGTACCAAGCTGTAATTTTTCATCCATAATTGCTGTCTGTGCTTAAGGTAACTGCAAAAAACCCCTCTTAGAGCATAAATGATTAAAACTCTGTAAATAGAATCAACAGTTTCCATAGCTTTGTTATCTCAGAGAGATTGCATAGATAGAATTGTTTGAACAGGTGGTAGACATGTCAGTGTTATTTGTTTGATAATTGTGAGCATGGTACCTTTGGATATAAATAATTCATTGCTTTCATTTAAAAAGTTTAATCCTTAGTGTTTTTCTGCACATATTGATGTTGGCCATGTTTATTCCTTTTTAATTGCACACAGATTAAAAAAAAAGACTGAAAGTTCAAACAAATAAGGATTTAAGCTGTGGAAAATATTTCTAAACCTACTCTCTCCTCACCTTTCACCTCTGGTTATATCCCTCTACATTTCCACTAAATTAAGAGTAGCAATAACTTTGCCTTGTTGGAGAAACTGTTGGCTTGCATTATCAAATGAAGTGTCTATGGGGGAATTATGGAGCAACTGTTGAAGCTCCCATCTGAATGGTGCGTGAAAACTTCAGAGAGCAACGTCCCTCAGGCTGAACGTGTCTGCTCTCCGGCAGGAGGAAGTGGAGTATGGCAATGTGAGTCTGTGAAGGGTGTGTCTGTGCTGCAGCGTCTGTGGAGCTGTGTTGGCAGTACATCAGTACTGTGTAGCTCATAGTGTTGTCATCATCATGACGACTGTTTTTGCGCACTTGTTGCTTCATGGAGGCGTGCAGTTGGCATGGTGGGAGAGCAAAGTGTTGGGGCTTGTCAATGGTGGAACAATGTCAGGATGGAGAAGCTGCTTTATTTACCAGTTTGCACAGAAGGCCTCTACTGGATTTATTGGAAGAACATTAATGAACTTGTGATGAACGAAAGGTAGCGCATTTAAGACTCTGCGTTGACTCTGTAGAACATTTAGTGGCAAAGTCTTAAAAACTTAAAGCTGGATTGGATATTTTACAGCTGAGGCTCTGTGAGGTTACTATTTGTAGCAGTTTCCCTATCTGCTGTAGACCGGTGTCATATTGAAGTGAGATTGTAGAAAAGTCAAGGATACCAATAAGTTAAGGGTCACAGCTAATCGGAGATCCCTATTTTTGGCGACTTTAGCAGGAAATAATATGTTACAATACTACATTAGTAGATATTAAATGTGTAGACTTTCATAGGAGGTTGTTTGTAAGGTTTTGTGTTGTCTTTTTCTTAGTTGAGGATCATCCACGTTACTACCTGTATGTGACATTGTTTGGTAATGCCTGTTGTAACCTGATCAGCTGAGATTTGCCAGTCTGCTCAATGTCTGCCAAGAATAGAGTCAAATTTGTATTTTATTGCTGACTGCCATTTGTTATAGTTAGGTTTGGAAATTATTCTTGCTGCCTCTTAATCAGCTGATCAGACAACTTGATGTAGTTACTTAAAAGTAATTTTGCATTGTAACAGTTTGGTAAAGAAGATCCTATACAATTTGTCTGACTAGCTCTTCTAGTGCCTCTATTGCTCTGAGAGTATCTTCATTATTCAGCAAACTCACAGCAATATGACATCTCTCTGCTGCAAGTAAGGAGACAATTACTGATAATTATCCTACATAAATTAACTTTAAAAAGTCTGAACTCATCCTTTAAGTGTTAAGAAAGTGTAGTCTTTTTCTGGGTCATTAAAATCCATTGGTATTGCTAATTGTGATGTTAACTTAAAAAGTAAGTCCAAGGGTAATGCCTGGTTTTAATGTTTGTCAAATTGCTAACTGTGTTTTGCTAAATCTCTGCGTTGTGTAAAATGATCAAGTTCACATTTGTTCACAGTCTATTTTAGAACTTGAATTAGAAAACATCAATGGTATTAAGAGTCATAAACTGTACAAAGGCCCTATGGTCCAGTCCGAGTAGTTATGAGACACATTGTTTCTCATGCTGGTGGTATCAGTGTCCTTTCTGTTCTTGAGGTCAGCCTATCAAACACCAAAAGCAAAACTCCTTTTAGCCTCTTTATTGTTTTGCTGCAAAATTTACACCCTGCAGGAATTTGGTCTCTGAGGAACCCCACTGTGCTCTCATGGCTGGCATGTTATTTTTACACAACATTTTGTCAAAGTAACAAGCTTAAATAATGCTCTACTAGCACAAAAAAGCCAGCCATTCTGTCCCATTTAGCATCTGGGAAGTTTGCCTTGACAGAACCCACGGGCTGTATAATGTATTTGTTTGCCTTTTTTCCTCTTCCTCTCCCTCTCCGTCTCACTGACCGTGGTTACATTCTTCAGAGGGCTCAGTGTTTTCCAAAAGTTAGCCCCCGCATGGTGATTGGACCCCCGCCAGTTCCGAACTGCAGTGGGACTGCGGCTTAAACGACCTGGACTGGTAGTGGCTGGTTTTTATGTGTTGGCACCGTTTGAAAACAGGCCAACGATAATGACGGAGGAATCAGCGGTCAAGTGTTTGCAGGTGCTTTGGGAACAGAGTTTAGATTTGTGTTGGACTTGCTCCCTTTTGACACTGTGAAGCTGACCGTTCCTAAGTGGTGTTACTGAGGGCACTGGGTACAGTTGTTCTTTGGCTAATTGCTCAGTGCCGCTTAATCCCAAAGATTTTGAAAGGTTTTCGACTCATAATGGGGCGGCTCTTGCATTTGATTGTTACACAGCTAGTGCAGGCATGTGTCATCAAATTCACAAGACGGGAGTCTCCCTGATCAGCATTTCCATCATCACTGTCAGTGTTCAACACTTTATTTCTGTAAATCAACAGAGCATTTGAATGAAATTCAAGCTTAGCACCTCTGACAGATCAGTAAAATCATTGCAATACACAGGCATAAGTTTCTGTTGTAGCTTGTTATGGTAAGCCAGTTCCCTCCTCTGTAGGATGTGGGGGCACGTGGCTGGATGGAATAGCATGTCTACATTCCCTGAAAGGGGGGAAGTGACCTCAGATTTCCTGTGTGGAGATCGCCAGGTGCAGCAGTGTCGTGGGGGTCCAGAGACTTCCTCCATGGATGCTTCTGTTGGTAAACGTCTGAAACTTGATCCCTTAAGTCAGGGCCCCTGTGGGAGGTGTTGGCCCCCCCTCTTCACAGTCCAGTCATCTCGCCTCACTTGCTAATCCGTCTCCTCCACAGTGCTCAGTCAGTGCCAGATTTCAGAGAAAAAGAGAACATAAACTTGATATAGTCTGCTAAATAGTGTGAATAGGAACCGACTCCCCTGCTAATGGGGGTAATTACATTTCTCTAGGGATACAATTACAGGTCCATACCTAGCACTTACCTGCTACACTCAAAGGAAATTCTGTTTTTGAGGAAATACCAAATTGTGAGGCCGAATTTCAGATGCCTTGTAACTACATGGTTTAATGCAGACTAATTACATGCCATGAAAGAACGGGGCTGGTATACCTCACTTGACCCCTCAGTACGTGCTATTTATTATATTTCATACACCATGAAGTGACGGAACATGTCCCTTCTGAAACATCGGTCATGTAACAGATGTTGTCTGGGTGCAGAAATGTTGTAGATTCACAGCTGCATCATCACATTTTGCCTTGTGTCGAGGAAACGTGAGTCAGGCCTGACTGTTCTTCTGCACCCTTGCCTAAAGGGAGGAGGGCAGGGCTGTGCAACAGAAGTCCATGGCGTGCACACACATTAACAAGACCTGACTAAAGGAATGTTATGCAAACTTGCAGCAGTTAACAGTCTCCTTCATCCTAACCTGGCTTGTTTTGTTTATTGGAACGAGATCCCAGAAGAACCTGTCTGGATGTACGTAAAACTCAGTTCACCTCTGCCTCGGGTAAACAAAATGTGTGCTGAAAGTGTGGAAATCGCTTTAGGATTGTGTTGATGTCATGACTTACTCAGTATTCTGGCACCAGTATAAGATTTTATCCTGGGAAAATAGTTTGCTTCTACAGAGGGCATAGATGGTGGATGTTTTTTTTTTTCTTTTGGAAAACACAGAAAGAAACAAGTCGCCACTGTTTCATGCAACTTATTCTGCAGTTTGTATTCCGGATCATAAACCTAATGGTTACACTGTGATGTCCAAATCACTGTATTTGGAAAATGGAGGTACCTAAGAAGTGAATTTTTAATGACACAAGGTAAAAAAAAAATATATTCCACTCTGATATTTTTTTTCTTCTGGGAATGATGAGAAAGTAAAAAATGACAAGCCCTGCATTTTATGATGTAATGCCACTTTTTTTCGTGGGATAAAATAAAAATCTTTTCTTGAATCATGTTTCTATTAGAGGAGTCTCTGCTGCCTTGGCCTGTAATTATCAAAGCTTCTGTCCAAAGTATGCCACTATTAAATTGCTGTATGCTTTACTTTTTGCCAGCTTAGTACAGAATTTAGTACTGAACTGGGAGTAGACTCGGGGCTGTTATCAGTATCAAAGTTGTAGTTTTAGTCATGAAACTTTAAAACCGTGGTGGAATAGATGCTAAAAGATTGACTCATCACTCTTATTCACAGTCCTAAACTGAAGCTGGCAAACAAACCACAGGATGTCTGTTAAACAACCCAATGCATTAACCAGCTGAGGTAATCTTATTCTTGTGGTAATCTATAATGGGTCAAGTGGTTTTGTGAACTTTTAAGATATTACTAAATATGATTTAAAAACTTTCACCACAATTTCTACTGTCTCTTGAATTTCAAGAAAAGGCTGATGGAATGTTAATGTATGGAGTTGGGTTCAAAGTTTCCAACACACTTGGACACTTTAGTTTCTATGGAAAAAAAAAAAAAAA